TTCTGAACCACAAGGTAGTATGTCCTGCGTCATACTTTACCCAACCACTCAAGATGCCAATCTGAGACTTATCGCCTACAACAAAAATTACACTTCCTTCAGTCTGTGCCTAGTCTCACTCCGGATATAACATGTACCCGTCAAGGTCCTACCTTTTACCAGAGGTTATGTTACTCCATCTCCATGTGCTGGCATCCATCTTGGATTGCTGCTGAGCATGGTGGGAAGCTTTTATGCCTTCAGGCCTCTGAGGTCCATCCCCCAGAGGGGTGTGGCTGAGTACATATAAGCCTGTGATCTGCACATGCTCTTTGCACTTGTGTCTTGTGTCTTTGTCTTGCTACAGCTCTGTGTATATGCTCGTGACTCTTCTGGTATTCTGACTCGGCTTGTGACTAAGACCATTCTCTGTGTTTTCCTTCGATCTGACCTTCCGTTGCTGAACCCGGCCCGTGACCTGTGATTCTCTGTCTACTGTTCTGTACTGTTTTGTCCTGTTGTTGTCGACTCGGCTTACCTGACTACGCTATTGTCATTCTCACCAGCTACACGCCATTGGCGGCGGCCATTACCGCAGCCGGGGTGTCTCGGGGGCCGCGACCTGGTTCCTGGCTGCGTCAAGTCCATCCCCCACCATCAGGGGCCCTGGTGAAGGGCAGCCTGGGACTTAGACTCCGCGCCCTGAGGGACTTCGGTCTGTTGGTGGTGGTTGTCGTCAGCCAGTGCCTTACCCTGCCACTAGGCCTACCTGTCCGTTCCACAGCCCTGCCCTGACAGTACCACCTTTGAAAATAGATGTTACTGCAGGGAACACCAGGAGGGTGGTGCATCAGAACTGTACACATTTCTCGTTAACACACACAAGATAAACTGCCCTACATGCAGGCATGGGAAAATGACTTGGCAATGGAAAGTCTGGAGAAGGACTAGAGGGATTGGTCAGTGCGGACATATAAGGGTATCAAGAATGTCTCCTTAGTAGATGCTGCTTACAAGATGGCCTCTTGCTGGTACTTAGTACCCGAACGACTGCATAAGATGTACCCAGACTCCTCAGCCCTGTGCTTCAGGGGTTGCGGTCAAGTAGGCACAACATTCCACACATCGTCAGACAATTTTGGATTACAGCTCCTCTCGCTCGTATACTCTGTAACCATGGTGAATGTGACCAAGGACTCCAAAACAGCTCTGCTCAATAAACCAATCAAGGGGATTCCTCAACATATGCAGACCCTAATTCACTTTATGTTTCTGGCTGCTAAAATACCAATTGCTACCGCTTGGTGGAGGTGGAGTTGGCGGTGATGAAGCACAAGCTTACCTGGATAATTATTTTATTTTATTTCAGGTACTTATATAGCGCCGTCAATTTACGCAGCGATTTACATACACATATTGTACATTCACATCAGTCCCTAACCCTCAAGGGGTGTACAATGTAAAGTCCCTAACGTACATTCATACATACACATACTAGGGCCAATTTAGACAGGAGCCAATCAACCTACCAGCATGTCTTTGGAATGTGGGAGGAAACTGGAGTACCCGGAGAAAACCCACACAGGCACAGGGAGAACATGCAAACTCCAGGCAGGTGGTGCCGTGGTTGGGATTTGAACCGATGACCCTAGTACTGCCAGACAGAAGTGCTAACCATTTAGCCACTGTGCTGCCCCATAATGATTAATGAGAAGCTAGTTAGTATACTTTGTGACACTACTACAAGGGTTGAGAGGGTCGGGATATTCCTGGATACAATACTTACCAACTCCTGCATGAAGAGTATTGTTATGATGATCTTAGGGGGCAGACAACCTATCTCTTGACTTTGCTTTTCTCTTTCTTTTTTTTTTTATTCCTTTTCTTTCTTCCTTCAACCTCCTTTTCTACTCTCCTCCATTTCCTTCTGGAAGCATGGTGTCTATCAGAGGCCCAATTCACAGTATTTTTTTACTCAGTTTTTTAGGATTGTTTTGGGCTTTTTTTATCCACCTTGGTTTGGTTCAGCTTTATAATTTCATTTGACAGGGATTATATGCGAGTGGAGGATGCGCTCCACTCTGCAAGGGGTAAGCAAAACTATTCATGCCCATGCCTCTTGTTGCGTGGCTCTATCATCCTATGGCAACCTTGCTAATGATATGATAGCATAGCTGTTGATAATTTTCCTTAGTACATTATGGTCACCACCTGGTTGATTTTAAGGCTGATTGTTGCCTTAATTTCTATGTACCCGCTGTATACCACCTGTGAGGTGATACTGTCCCTCCTTTTATGGTTGCATATCTCAAATTGGGCCTTTTGCAGGCTGAAGGCCTTTATATTTGCATATCTCAAATTGGGCCTTTTGCAGGCTGAAGGCCTTTATATTGTTTTTTATTTTCTGTATTGTATGTAAACTTTCAATAAACATTTATGATGAAGAAATAAGGGATGGCAGGCCCTCAACTTTAAAAGCAAAAGACCAAAAAAATTGATCTTTTGCTTTAAAAAAAAAAAGAAAAAAATGACGCCACTTCCACTGTAGACCGGAAGTGGCGTCATAATGTCACTGTGGTCCTCCAACATCATAGAGGTGATCAGAGACAATCTGGTCTCGGATCACTTCTGTGACCAGCCGCAAGAACTGTCGGATCGTTTCCCAGGCTCGCCGGTAAAAGCGGTAAGCCCAAGAACCACTGGCAAGTGGCGGGAGTGGGGGGGGATTCTGAAAGCGATCTAGTAGCTAATTAGCCACTCAGACTGGTTTCATATAGAAGAGAATCGCTGGCTGAAAAAACAAGATGTCGGAGTTATGACTGATAGCTGCAGTCATACCTTCGGTAAACCACTTGCAAACCACAACGTATATATACGTATTGTGGTCGGCAAGTGGATAAATATGGAGATCAGGACTTCTGACATTTTTGCAATTTTACTTGTGGCATATTTGTTTTGGATCAATGACTGAGAAAATAAAGAAGCCAGTGTAACTAGCCAGACAGCTATTTCTTTTTACAGAAGACAGTCTGCAATGGTAGCCTTCCATGCAGGCAAAGCTGATCAGCATTTCTTAACATATTCTATTTCTATAACATATTCATATTCTATTCTATAACATTCTATTCTACAAAACAAGGTCCATCCCTCAGTTGTTCCTGGCACCTGAAAAATATCGCAGAATTGCAGTGGCCATTGGCTCAATTCAAGTTAACACAAGGATGAGTACACTTCAATAAAGGTGACAGCTATTTTCAGCTGAGATTTGAAAACTACAATTGCTTGACTAAATAATAGAGCCTCATTCTTGTGCTAAATCTTTGTGAATTGAGCCTCACGTGATATTCCATAACTGCCTTGTAAGGTATGGGAAACCTAAAGTTATCCTCCCCCCTGGATGCATGATTCAGGTTTGATCAGTCACTGCTAGAAAATAGCACATCTTTATCAGTTTTTTTTTACACAAGATTCAAGCATTTTTTTGAGTCTTATATGAAAAATGTATAAATGTGTAAAAGTTGTGTGAATCTTGAGTGAAAACATTGATAAGTAGACCTATGTTATATCAACATTTCAAATGGGAAAATGAAGACAAGAAGACTACACTGTAATTTATACTTGCCGACTTACAGACTATATGAAACAACACTCTAGCAATCATCTTTTCACAGATATGATGAACTTGTGATGAATACTATTTCATCCTGATAGGGCAGAACCACACAGCTTCCAAATTTTTGCTTGCTGTATACCCTGTGACTGCAGAGCCTACAGCCTAAGTACAGCGCTTATAGTATTAAGTATTACTCATAAACATATGATTACTGCTCTGCCAAAATGCTGCGTGTAGCGGTTTCACATTTAATAACCCAAAATGTTTGTCTAACAGCCTGCCAGTCAACTCCTACATTTTAAACATTTGCTTCTAATTACCTTATGTGCAAAGGATAAAAAGCCCATCTGTTGTATGTCTAATTTGTGCTTATCTTCCAAAGTATTTCAAAACGAGTTTAAATACAATCAAAAAACATGTTCAAACATGTAATATAGCTAACAGAAATGCTGACCATGCTAATTAATTAAGGTATTCAAATATTTCATTTAAAAGTGTTAAAAGGAATGACAGAATAGTGCTCAAATTTAAAGCATCAAAAAAATAAAAAAAGAGAAAAATGAATCATGGCTATAAAATTGTGTGCAGAAAGAAATTAGGCAAATTACATTGACATTATGTCCCTGGATTTTCATAGAGCTCATAAGTTCACAACTTAAGGATAAAATGCAAAATAAGTTAGCTTTTGAGAGAAAATTGGATGAAAGGAGAAATGCAGTGAATAGCACATTAGCATTTGCTACATGCTCAGGCACGAGACCTAAATTAATTCCTCAAAACTGATGTGGTAACCAACATAAAGGATGGTGACTGGCTATGAACAGAAACAGAATAGTCCTACAATGTAATATTTGTCAAAAGCGAAATGTTCAATTGTCAGCACATAAGGCCCTCGTCTGTACACACAACTGATAGTTTGAAAATAGCAGTTTTCCACCATTCCCACAATACAGTATAACACAAATAACATTTAACAATATTATACAGTGTACAATATATATATTATATATATATATATATATATATATATATATATTTCCAAAATAAAAAATGCAGTAATACATAGTGTTAAATGTATAGTTTTGTGATTACCCCTACATTAAAGCTCTCTGACTGTTTCAGTTTAAATTAAATAATAAAGTCTAAGATGAGATAAAAGAACTCAAAAACTGAGAAAGAATGTAAACTATTAGGTAAAAAATGTACAATCCTAATTGAAGAAATACAGTGTTTCACTATTTCAATGCATAATTAATTTATATTCCGCATAGATATTTCACCTATTACATGTAATGCACAAAAAACTATTTGAACTTCTAAATAATTTCTATACCCCATTTAGCAATGCTAAATAACTATTGTAAAAATTACTAGCTTTCCTAGTCTGACTTTGCCATTTTGGTCTCACCTTTTTGCTAGCCATGATGAACTGTGTCCTGGTTTGTTACATCATGGTCTGGTCCCTCACATCCTAAGACCTGTCATTTAAAGAATAGAGTCTGACCTCTTTGATGGCAGCACACAAACATGCTAATTACAGATTATCCCAGGTCACTAATCTTCCTCTGACCATCTGTCATTGTAGCACAAAAGAACACGGAGAAGGAGGAGGAGCAAGACACAGCAATAAGATATTGTAGTTATCACTAATAGATCACACATCTATGTTTTGAAAATAATGAAGACCTGCAACACTATAGAATCAGTCACTATATTTGTTCTGTTTATTACATGATGTATAATACATTGACAAGAGTTTTAGTGGCTAATTTCAAAACTCTCTGAAGACACTCCCAAGTTAATCAGATATGATATAAACATACTGTACCTCATCAACTAATAAAATCAAACCCAATGTGCTTATCTCTAGATAAGCAATTGTTTGAAATATGAAAAAAGTATTATAAGTACTCTGTTATCATAGGTTTCAGTATTGGGCAGTTTAATTACTATGGCTTCACCATAATCCCAATAGAGTATAATATAGTATATAATAAATTTTGAATATGGTATATATCAATTTTAACAAATATCTTTGCAGTATTATTGTACCGTGTTAGCCATTGATGAATACAGAAAGAGTTTATGTGATACACTTTATTAGCTAACTTAAGCTATTAAAGATGTGTAGGCAGGGGCAGTCCACTTCCTGCACTGTAGGTGGTGCTCAATCGGAGGGGAAGTAAGGAGAAACCTGGTTTCTGTATGGTTTCTGAGTCCCCATAGGCAGCATTTCGGTTGGCTATGCTGCATTCAGGTGACCCTTAGGACTATCTTGAGTCAGAAGTGTCTTTTTAAGTCCCTGCTCCCAGGTTTTGGCACACATTTCACAAAGTGGACAAAAGAGAGAAAGAGCACCCATCTGTCAAGGAAAGTGAGAAAGTAATACCGATAGGGAGAAGATCCTGGTGAGGAGGGACAGGCTAGGGACATGCCATTCTACTTGGAAGACTCCCTATTGGAACTGGGCCGGCCAGGCCGCATTCTGCCCTCTGAGACAGACGCTGCATCTGAACCTGCTGTGTATGAAAGTCACTTCAAGATTCATCGCTTTCAAGATTCTTTAGATCCCTTTGTTGGGCATTATATATTTGTGTATAAACCTGATGAAGAGATCTAAACAATCCGAAAAACTTAAGTCTTCAATAGATTATCCAATAAGAGATGTCACTTAAATTTTAGACTTTTTGCAATAGAGATCTTTCTACTACTCAATTTAACATGAAATCATCATAGTAAAATTAACAAATGTGGTTTGTGCTGTAGGCTGAGCTGAGCTTCTTATCACACTGCAAATCTACAAGAGAAGGTAGATTTATATAATAATAGGCTCTCTGCAGTTTTTAATGACATGTGGGCTCCTGGTAGCCACTATCTACAGTATTTACAAAAAGCATACAGTGCTACCCACAAAAATGAAGTAAATAAATACAATTCCAATATAGTGCACAAAAATCTTACAGTATAAATACATAGAATGTGCATGAGCAATACATATAAATTACACATACCATAAATAAAATAATATATCGAATATAGCCAGTTTTAAGTCAACACACTATATAGTTTTGAGTAATGAATTCCACAAAAGTGAAAAAACATGCTAGCAATCTTCATATCTAATGTGGTAATTTAATGATACACCCCAGTGGCACAACTCACTCAGCAGATTTATTTGACCACTTCTTCAAAAATGGTTTAACAGAGCATGGTAGAAATGTTCAAATACACAGGAATTGCATGGTTCTTAAGTTCTTCTGAAATGCTCCAATTCAGGAAAAGATGGTCCCATTCAGCAAATTTAAAAAAAGAGCGAAGGTTTATAGCATAAAACAACCTCTTTATTAAAATCCATATAAAACAATCAATCAGTACTCACAAGTAGAGTGCTCAGCCTAATACTGGGAATCTGACAGTTTAGAAATAAACTGAGAGCCATGACAACGTCCTGCTCAGCGTGCAGCTGTTTTTCTCAATGTGTTGACTTCACAATACTTCAGCTTCCATTCTTTCCTGAAAGAGTGTGGGAACATATTAAGGACTGGGCAATTCCTGTGTATTTGAGCATTTCTTCCCTGCTCTGTTTGACCATTTTTAAATAAGTGGTCAAATAAATCTAGTGAGTGAGTTGTGCCACTGGGGTGTATATGGGAATTTAATTTAATTTAGTTAATTAATTTTTGTGGGTAGTACTGTATGCTTCTTATATAGTTGTACTCAAATATCTTTTGTGATGCTTATACAGCAGCTTGGTCTAAATGGTTGTTTAGATTTTTTTTGTTTTTGACCATGCGGTCTTTGCTTAGACTTTTGGGCTTAAGAGGGAGCTTAGGAGTAGCAGTTGTTTATTCCTTGCAAGAATGACAAATGGATGAGAAAAATTAATCCTGGCCCATTGGCTTTCCTGATGAAGTAGACCATGACTTCCATTCATTCCTATGAAATAGCCATTACCACTAAGATGAAAGAAAAATGACCATGCAATAGGAATGAATGGCGATTGTGGTACACATGTGTGGAAGAAGCAGAGCCTGACCAGGAGACATTTGGTAAAGAGGCTATGCAGGCTGCACAGTGAAGTTTTCCAAAGAGCAAGAACAGGAAAGTGTGAGAGTTTGGAAGGGTACAGGGGTGAAAGAAGCAAGGTGGCCATACAAAGGATAACTTAATTAAAAGTAGAATTATTCTTAAAGCTGCAACACAGTGAGCAGACAGTCAGTATGTTTGACTGATATTAATTTCCTCTGTGGCATAAAATGATGATATTTTTTCTATAGAGTTTCTACTTGTGTAGAATGTCAGCACAAATTCTAATATGTTATAATTATATTATTAATAATAATAAGAAGAATTAATATTAATAATAAAAAGGTACAAAAAATCTGCTATATCGCCAGATTATGCCTTCCTCATAACACCATGCTAAAATGTACATGTTTCTAGGTAGCAAACCTAGTGAAAATAAAAACATCTAAATATTTGTGCACAGGTATGCATAAGTGCAACTTTAACGGGAAGTATGGCCAAAGTTTTTTTTTGGCCATACATCTTTTGCGGGTCACAAGATTGCACTTACATTTGCTCTACTGTGACCTTGAATCAGCTGATAGTGGGCCTGCTATCAGCTGACATGGCAGAGCCATTGCAAGCTCTTAAAGGATCCTGACATTGCTGTCAGGATCAACCTAGAGCCCTGATTGACAGCTGAATCTTCCTCTCAGAGACCCGGAGATAGCTGCTCTCACCTCTTCCCAGCCCCATTCTCCACTGAGCACTGGAGGAGCAGAGCACACAGTGGTGAATGAAAGTCACTGCTCTCTGATACAAGAAGTAGCCATGTGATCTCTCAGTTCTCTGGCTTACAGCTGATGTGGGAAGCTGAGAATATGGATCCCCCTATAGTCCTGCACAGCCAGGCAACACGCATTTTCCACAGACTTGCATTCTGGAGACAGTAAACAATCTTTGAGTTTGTTTTTGTTAAGTTTTATTAGGGATATTAATCTGGGATGGGGTAAGGGGTGTACTGGATGCCCAAGGAACAGTAAACTGCGGACAACTTTCTGGCAACTATATACAAGTCCAAGATAGGGAATTCTCTCCTGGTAGAGCTCTCCAACCAGATAAATCCTCTTCTTTACCTGTCTGAAGGAATCCCTGTGCAAGGGGATCCAGTGCCTGCCACAGTAAGTTAAATAGTCCCAAATAAGGAGCTAGTCAGGTCTCCCACCAGAATGCTCTCTCTTCCAATAACTAGCCCAGGGGGTGTAGGATTACTCACGCAGACCTTGCCTTTGAGCTGGTAGGGTTGATGGCTGCCTTCAGGCCTTCTGCTGGGCTGGCTTCTTCCCTGGTGCCACAGGTGTTCCTTCCTCTGGGGACAGATGAGGCCGAGTGATCCTCCTTTCCAGATCTCAGCCTGTAGGTAGGCCTCTCCCCACTGGGCCCCCTCCCAGACTCCTTCATCTCAGCCTTCCTCATATCTTCCATCCAAACTCTCCTGCTGCTGGCAGGCTCAATCATACGAAAGGGCTGTCCTGACCCCATGCCAAGTCTCTTGTCTGGAGATTGTTCACAATCCCCTAAGTATGCAATTCAGCCCCTCCTCACCCCCACCCACTGCTTCTAGATTCTTCTCCAAGTTTTAAGAGCAGGGGGAGGTATCAAAGAATGGATCTGCAGAGCCTCTCAGCCCTCTAACGCATCCCAGGCTGCTACTCAACCTTTCTAGCTAGAAAATTTAACTAGCTCCCCCTGACTATCTGCACTGGACAGCACAGAGGGTAGTATGTAGGTTTTTTTTTTACAAAACCCAAACTTCTCCTTTAATAAAAAGTATCATTACAAATATACAAAGCATCTAATATAGGTTTAACAATCTGGCGTGAAGCCCTCTGGCACAAAAGCAGAATGTAGGTCAGGACCTACAGTCCTCATCTCCTCATCATAAATAACATATCTCTTAACATACAAACAAGGGTGTAAGATTAAGGGGGAGTAGATTGGTGTAATAGATGTGGCACCCTCCTAGATAGGTGCTAGGTTAGGTAAATTTAACTCATGACTTACTGTAATCTGTTTCATGTAATTATTTTTGTCTGTTCTGTGTTTCATGGGCTACAGGGTTGGCTGCTTCCCCCTGACTGTCTGGAAAGGTTCTAGAAGATAGTGAGCTGAGAGAGCCAAATCAGAAGCTGAATATTTGTGTGACCCTGGCCATTCCCTTGGGAGTGGTACCCATATAGCGGCTGGGAGGGAGCATAAATTCCCTGGGGCTTGGAACAGAGGGGATCTTGTCGTAGAGGAGGAGATACCAAACTGGAGGGCTGCTGCTCTTTTAGGCAGACCTGCCATATGTCTGCTGCTCATCATGGTCCCAGCTATGTGGACTGGGGGGCCCATTGTGCTGAAATTGGTGCCGACTAAGGGACTGTCTTTTGAGGATCTGGTCTGGGATTACAGGAGAGTGTCCAGAAGATACTGGAAGGAGGCATCCAATTATCCAAGGACATTATTGAGTACAGACCAGTGTGAGAGATCTCTAAGACTGTGTGCTGCTACTATCCCTCTTATATTATAGTCAGCGTAGCTCATAGGGGACATTATCTATGGTGTCCTGGTAAAGCTCAGACCAATATTTTTCTGCTGCAAGGACTGTGCTCAGATGTTTAGGAGGAAGACTAGTTGTTGCCTAAAGTTGCTGGAGTATCCCCCAGTTACCCTAAACCTATACAATTTCAAGTTCTGCAATAAAGCATCAGAAAAGCATACATCTGCTTTTTATTGAGCCAAAGGAGCGAATGTGACTGTATGCCTGGCTGCGGGTGGAATTGTTCATAAAGAGCCTTGGGACCTAAACAGCGGGCTCCTATGGGGGTGAGCACTAAATAAAGGCACAGAAACAAGCTTTCTTTACACAGGATCCCAATCACAGCCCCAAGAGTCATAGGCCAGGTTGCAGTTTCTACTCTTTTTCCCTGTTATGAAGATACTGAATCTATAGAGGGGAAAACACTTCTAAAACCTTAGCTAGTTTTCTTATAAACTAGGTGAACTTTTATAAATTGTACTTTGCCTTTTCCTATATCTTTCTCAGCTGCTGTTTTCCCATTGGTAATCGTTACTTCAAAGCTCATAAGTTTACCATGTTAGTGTTAACATTTCCAGAGGCCTTGAAAATATATTTAAGGTGTGTCAGTAAAAGATTGTTATTCCCATTTCAGCCACACCTGGTATATGCTGTATTTATTTTGAAAGAAATTCAAAAATGTTAACTTTTTCTCAGCCATCTTAAAGTGACACATAGTTACATAGTTAATCTGGTTGAAAAAAGACCGAAGTTCATCCAGTTCAACCAACAGAAAACACACACAGAAAACACACACAAATAGAAAATGTCCATATCCACTCTCCAATTACCCAGAGGTGATCCAGAAGAAGGCAAAAAACCCCCAATAAAGCATGATCCAATTAACTACCACAGGGGAAAAATATTCCTTCCTGATACCAGCTCTTGAGGGACTCTATTCCACATTTTCACAGCTCTTATTGGGAAGAAGCCTTTGTATATTTGGAGATTAAATCTCTTTTCCTCCAGGCATGCCCCCTTGTCCTCTGTGATGGCCTTAAGGTGAATAACTCTAAACCAAGTTCACTATGGACCACTTATGTATTTGTACATGTTTAGCATATACATTAATTTCCTCAAAATTCTGGTTTAACCACTTCAAGTCCGGACACTTTCCCTCCCTTCTGGTCCAGGACAATTTTCAGCTTTCAGCGCTGTCGCACTTTGGATGAAAATTGCACGGTCATGCAACACTGTACCCAAATGACATTTTTTCCATTTTTTTATATAAATGAAAAAAGACTGAATATTTTTGAAAAAAAAACATGGTTTTCCTATGATATTTTGCAAATAAATAATCTTTCGTCATAAATCTTGGCCAAAATGTATTATGCTACCTTTTTGGTAAAAAAAGAAAAAAAAAGAAAAAACCCTAATCATTTTATAGAAAAGTAATATTTAAAAAAAATGTTTTTGATACTTTTTTTCTTTATTATTATTTATTTATTTTAACATACCGTCACCCTAGCAGTATAGTGACACTGTACTACATGTGTGGGGGGTGAAAAAGATTTTTTTTTGTGATTGCTTTTACACCCATAAAGGCTGTAAAAGCAATCATTTCTCCTCTCTGGCTGCATTCCTGCAGCCATTGAGAAATACTGTGAGAGCTATAATTGGTCACAGCTTATCACATGATACAAGGCTGCTGTAAATGGTCTTGTGCCATGTGACCTCTGTGATCATTCACAGAATTCACAAGTAGAAAACAATGATGTCAGGAAGTGACATCTTGTTTACTACTGTTCATGTGATCACTGATTGGTCAATAAGTGATCACATGAATCAGGACCTCACACAGTGGCCCCGTACAGCTATCTGTGTTCGGTGGACACAGTGGGCACAAATCGTGGCGTTGTGTGCACTAAATCGGAACTTTACCCATAACAACTTGATAAAAAAAAATGGATTTTTTTAGCAAGCAACAGCAGTAAATCTTTAGACTGTCAGCAGATTGGCCTCTACATTTTTTGGCACAGTGCCAAAAAAATAGAAAGCAACTGAGCATGTGCAGAGCAAGGTAGTGTAGGGTAGGTAGTGTATTACCAGCTTTTAAACAGCATATGACTATATACCTGCAAAAATGGCCAGCCAGAAGTGACCTAGCAGAACTTAATTTTCTAAAGTTCACCTTTAGGTAGTGGACAGGTATGGATTATTTTTTGGAGAATAAGGATATCATTTTGTGTCACTTTAATTTCTACTATATTCCATTTGTCCCTGGTCACACTGGATGCGAATTGGCATGTGATTTGCAAATCGCATGCCAAATCGCACCCTATTGTCCTCAATTAGAGCGGTCATATCGGTACGGTTCTGATTTGCTCGGAGCCGCACCGATTTCTAATGTAGTATATGCACTACATTCGGTGCGATTTACATAGACATTTGTGTCAGATGTCTTGCAAATCCCACCTGAAATCAGCATGTCATCGGACTTTGAAATTGTGTGACTTCACTGAAAGTCTCTTTAACCCTTTCACTGCCATAGCTGTTTTTGCTTTTTTTGCACACATTTGAAAAATCATTTTAGGCCTGAAGATTACACAAAACCCCCAAACATTATATTTTCTGAAAGCAGACACCCTAGAGAATAACATAGTGTTCCAATTTTTTATGTCGCATGATATTACTGCAAAAGTCTAGAAAATGCTAAATTTCAGTAAAAAACACACTAAAGTGAATTTTAGGGCAAACAAACGCAATAAATTACCCATATTTTTGGTAAACTATAAAAGACGAGTTTGAATCAAGTATATAGATACCCAACATGTCAAACCTTATGTAGCACTCTCTTAGTTACAGTAGGTGGAGCTAGATTCCTAATGGATAGACAGGAGCTGAATAGCAGCTCAGGTGCAATAGCCAGAAGAGTCAAATTCGGGTCAGGGCTGAGAGACTGCAGGTCAGCCGCTCTAAAATTTCCTCCTGCTCTGAAGCTTTTGGAGGAGTGCATTGGAGGCAGTGGGCAGATTTAACCATTTTCAAACAGGGGGTTAAACTTTGTACAAGAACTCTTTTTAAAAAAAAGTGGATAGGAATGGTTACATTCCTACACACAGTTGTCATCATCAGGGATGGTTGAAGGCTATCCCTAAAAGTCAATTTATAAGACTGAAGTGGAACTGTGAAAATGAGGTTGATTTTGAGGATCAATCAAATGTTCCAATGCAGAGATTTGAGGAAAAAGGGTATAAGACGCATAGCCGTAATACGATCAGGGAACAGGTGAGGAATATGAACAGAGAGGAATTATTGGTGAAGAGGGATAAGAAAGTGGATAAATTCGACTTAGCCTTCATCACGTTTTTTTTTCTAGGCAATATAAAGTCATGGAGGGAATTATTAGGCCGATTTTATTACAAGATGATATACTAGGTAAAATGTTACCCAAGGGACCTCGATTCATTTATAAAAGACCACCCACCCTAAGAACCAAACTTGTAAAAAATGTTCTGGACCCACCTAAAAAGGGTGACCTTTCTTGATTAGGCTGGGCTTTTTTAACCACCTCCCGCCCACCATATAGTACAATGACGGGCGCAAGGCAGTTCTCTCGTTCTGGGAGGACGTTATATGACTTCCTCCCATTCAAACCGCGCATGCGCGGCTCCGGGAGCGCGCAGCACAGCGATCGGTGGTGCGCTGTGTCTCTTGGACACAGCGGATCACCAATCAATGGAAAGAGCCGAAGATATCGGCTCGGTCATGTGATCAGCTGTGTCCCAATCACAGCTGATCGCATGTAAATAGGGAAATGCCGGAGAATCGGCATCCCTCAGAGGGGACATGCACACTGATCATCAGGGCACTGATGATCAGTGTGCCCTGATGATCTGTGCAGCCCCAGCAGTGCCACCTGTCAGTGTCCATCAGTGCCAGCTTTTCAGTGCCTACCAGTGCACATCAGTGCCACATATCAGTGCCCATCTGAGCTGCCTTTCAGTGTCACCCATCAGTGCCAGTCAGTGCCGCATATCAGTGCCACCTATCAGTGCCATATATGAGTGCTGCCTTTCAGTGCCCATCAGTGATGCCTGTCAATGCCCATCAGTGCCACCTACCAGTGCCTCCTCATCAGTGCCCATCAGTGCCACCTACCAGTGTCCATCATTGCAGCCTATCAGTGCCCATCACTGCAGCCTCATTAGCGCACATTAGTGAAGGAGAAAAATCACTTATTTACAAAATTTTATAACAAAAACTAAGAAAAAACTTTTTTTTTTTCAAAATTTTCAGTGGTTTTTGGCTTGTTTAAGAAAAAATAAAAAACCCAGAGGTGAATAAATAACACCAAAATAAAGCTCTGTCTGTCACAAAAAAATTATAAAAATTTCATATGGGTACAGTGTTGCATGACTACACAGTTGGCAAAGTGCAACAGCGCTGAAAGCTGGAAATTGGCCTGGGCAGGAAGGGGGTATAAGTGCCCTGTAGGCTAGTGGTTAAATGTGGTAGATGTTTGGCCTGTAGGAATAGGAAAGGGGACCCTAATACAAAAAATTTACACAATTTCAGTCGCACAGTAGTGGGGACGTGTTTAACATTTGAACATTTTTATCTTGTGGAAGTACCCATGTACCTTACCTTTTAGAGTGCCCGTATCACTTACAGTATGTGGGAGAACCACTAGAAAATTATCTACTAGATTGGGAGAACACATTAGAAATGTAAAAAAGGGGTTCAAACATTACAATTTATCCAATCATTTTAGGAAGTTCCACAATAAGGATCCGTCTATCTTGAGATTTTGTGGGATTGATAGGGTGGAACCCCACTGGCGTGGGGGTAATTTGACCAGATCAAAAAATGAAACGAAATGGATTCTGTCATTAAAGACATTGCCCCCTATAGGGATCAATGTTGAAATTGATTTAAATTGTTCTTTATCTGATTGGTAGTTTTTTATTGTCACCCATTTATAGGGATAGATGGATGGGGTCCATTATCCTTTTAGGGGAATAAATAACACTATGGGGTATATTTAATTTTGTTTATTGAGTTGTTTTTATATTTAAATGTATTATGTATTATTATTGAATTTTTATTAATTATTATACATACTGGCAGCTTATTAATGACTATTTGACATTGTAGGAAGGTTGGATATTTTCCTATTTATCCCTGAATTACCATAAGTAATCCTGATTGGTTAATTATTACGTGGGAGGCACGCCAGTGTAGTATATAAGTGATGAGCAACTGGAGGTCTAGGTCTTTGATAACGCCCTGGAGGAGGGGTGAAACGCGTCAGTAGACGGACGTCCGGTTTCCTATGTTGAGTGTGTGACATCATATCCGGTGCTGCCAGCTAGGTTTACTTTATGGAATCCGTTTTAATCTAGGAAGTCTGTTTTGGAGGATTTTGTCAATTGGCGACTTATTTTAACTTATAATGTGAGTAGATTGAGCACTATTTTATTCAATTAAAAGTCTTTGCAATATTGCACTATTGGTTCTTCCTATATAACACATCATTATGAGGGGAAATCCCCTTTGAAGTTGGATGTAAGGAAGCTCTTGTATATGGATGAGGCTATGGAGAGGAAATTTTCCCTGGAATTGGAGGACAATATTGTATCCATAAAGTGCAATTTATTCCTATCTCTGGTGAGTGCAGAATACATCACTATTCACAGGAAGGTGTGGAATCATGGAGTCTTTTCTCTATTACACTTATCCTGAAATATTTTTGGAGCACTATTTGCATGTTTAACCACCTCCCGTCAGGCCATTGTATATAAAACGGCTGGACGTTGGCAGTGCAGGGTCGGGTGGCCATTTATATACAACGGCCGGACAGGAGGTGGTTAAACATGCACAGTGGAACACCGAGCATCGGACGGGACCTCTCTGCAAGGTCCCGATCATGTGATCACTGATTGGCCAATCAGTGATCACATGCAGAGTAGTAAGCAAGATGTCACTTCTGACATCATTGCTTACTACGTGTGAAATCTGTGAATGATCACAGAGGTCACATGGTACAAGGCTATTCACAACAGTGACCAATCACAGCTCACACAGTAGTTTTCAATGGCTGCAAGAATGCAGCCAGAGAGGAGAAATGATTGAAATTACAGCCTTTATGGGTGTAAAAGCAATCAGTATAAAAAAAAAAAAAAATCTTCATCACCCCCCACAAGTAGTACAGTGTCACCATGGTGATACTGTACTGCTAGGGTGACAGTATGTAAAAAAAAAAAACCCATAAATATTAATATTAAAAAAATGTAAAACATTTTTAAAAATTATAATTTTTGGTTATATAAACCAATTTGGGTTATTTTTTTTTTTACTAAAAAGATAACGGAATAAATTTTGGCCATGATTTATGATGAAATATTATTTATTTGCAAAATTTTATAAGAAAAACACTTTTTTTCAAATTTTTGGACATTTTCATTTACATAGCAAAAAAAATAAAAATCCCAGTGGTGAATAAATACCACCAAAATATAGCTTTAGCTGTCTCAAAAAAATTCATATGGGTATAGTGTTACATGACCGCGCAATTGTCATTCAAAGTGTGCTAGCACTGAAAGCTGAAAATTGGCCTGGACAGAAAGGGGGTAAAAGTGTATGGACTGGAAGTGGTTAAAGAGGACTTTCTTTGTTTTTGGTCTCATCACTTTTTGTATTTGGACACAAATTTTATATTTTTTTCATTTTGGTGGTTTTGGACATTTATTTTATAACCACAGAATTTATTATGATTTGTGTACAATTATTTTTGATTCATTTCATGTTTTGCGCTGTTTTATTGTTTCACTGATTTTTTTGATTTTTATCAATCTTTTTGATTCTTATCAAGGCACAGCAGCATTCACATTCAAAATTTTCACATAGTTCTTGTGGCGCAGGTTGTTTTTTGTTTTAGTTTTAATATAATAAATGTTTACTTTTGGGTTTAATAACGCTTTAAGAACACTATTAAGAATAAACTACAGTATTTAAAGGATAAGTTCAACCTTTGGGAACATGTTACATGTTCCACCCGCCCCACATGGCCATGTCATTAATTCACAGAGTTCTGTGAATGAATGAAGTCCTGTCGGCTTGTAGTTTGCAATAAACTACCATGGCACTGTGGAGCGTCATGGTAATTGGTTGATTCTTCCTGTCAGTATATCTGCTCGTACATCCCATAGGGCAAGCAGATATACTGACAGGTCTGCAGGAGACCTGCATGGCACCAGCAATCTGCTGATTGCTGGTGCACTGCATTACAGGCTCCTGCAACAAAAAATAATAAATGCACATTTTTTTACCTGCAAAAAAAAATTGCATTTATTTATTTTTTGTCAAAATATGAACTTGTGATTTAATTATTTTGAGCTGTCCCAAAGTTACATAGTTAGTCTGGCTGTAAAAAGACAAAATCCATCCAGTTCAACCATAGAAAAAAAAAAAGTTATAATCCTCTACCCACAGTTGATCCAGAGGAAGGCAAAAAAACCCCAGCAAAGCACGATCCAATTTGCTCCTGCAGGGAAAAAAATTCCTTCCTAATCCAGAGAAGCAATCAGATATTCCCTGGATCAACTTTACCTATAAATGTTAGTATCCAGTTATATTCTGTGTATCTAAGAACAATCCAGGCCTTTTTTGAAGTGTCCCTTAGTTGTTCCATGTTGTGCCATGTAGTATATTGAAAAGTGGTTATTATTTCCCAGAGATGATCGATAACAATAGAGCAAGACCAGGTATCAAAAATGTCTTCATTCACATTTCCTTATTTCTCTGGGTACTCAATTTATCCATCATACACAATCTAAACATACAGTAGCTGCCCTAAAATCCTCTAATGTAAGGTAATTAGGCTGAATCCATTGAGTTAATATGACTTTTTTTTTATTACCAACAGACAAATAATTTCCCATCTACTAAGTGCTACTATGACCTCTCATTCACTTTCAAGCATAGTCTGTAGATGGGCACAGCAACCTAGTGTCTCTCGATATAGAATTCATAAATTGTATGTTTTGGCAGATGTTCCTCTATTATTGGGTACTGCCACCATAGGTGAATCAAATTAGGTTTGTCAAGAAAATATTTTGGATAAAAAGATAACCACAATGAAGATGGTGATTTATGAACAAAATTAAATGCCTGGTATGCTCTATGAAAAATTTAAAATGTTCTCTAATTTTTACTTATCACTTTACAAGTACATTTCCAATCAAGCTGGATAGAGGACTAGGCTTCCTTGGGCAGTATACTAAAAACCAGCCCACTTAGCTATAAATGCTGAGCTTAATTGAAGACTTTGAACCCTTTTCTTCCCTAAAAAAATGAAAAAGCTATTATAGTCCATGCTTTTCAGATGGCTTATCCAATAAGCGCATAAAATACAGATAGAACTTTAACAAAAATTAATCTCCCAGAACAGAATTAAGGAAACTGTCAAGTTTTCTATATAGTAAAAATGTACCTGTGAAATACCAAACTCCTGACGAAGTATTGGAAATTTTAACATCAAGGAGTTCCTCTGGGGAGGTGCAGGAAGATCGTACAGCGGACGTGGCCCAGGGGAATCCCAGTGATCCCCTTTGCCAGCAGGTTGAACTCCATAAAGAACTCAAAGGGGAACATTGAGGATTCATGTCCACAGTGCCTGCAGAGAAGCCAGTGTTCTGTTGTGATGTAGACAGATTGTCATCCTTGGTACCTTGCACTGCAGGTGGGGTGCTCATCTGTTTCACAGGGGATCGGGCCCCCCCCCCGGTCCAGAAGTGTTAGAAATGCCAGCACAGTCACAGAGGAAGCCTGCAAGTGGGCCAGGGAGCACCCTAATGGGTGGTGGGAGCTGAAAAGTTGAACCCTTGCTATGCAGAGTCCTCCCATATTAAAAGTGAAGGATGCATGGCTGGCCTGGAGCCTGAGTCAGTGTTAGGGCCATCTTGATAAATTACCTGCTCCCTGGCCACGGATGGGTGCAATTCTTAGTCCAGCTGTCCTGTCTTTATCTTTTCTTAGCACACCTGTTCTGAGTCTTTATTCCAATTTCTGGAAGTAGAGTCCAAAAATCAATTAGACTGCCATATGAGAACTGGGGGTTCCTGTGTCTCTGCGGTCTTTGAAGGGAGGTTTATCATGGCTAAAGAGTTCTTTGTTTTACAGAATGGGAGCACCCCAAGGTTGTGGTGGCCCAGCCTAATAAGAGGCAGTAGCATCTGGAGACTGGGGAATGGCGAC